GACCGATACACATTTTCCAGATTCAAATCCCCTTCATGAGCAGCAAGACTCCTGAGAAACGGGTTTAGAATGTAGAAAGGAGGAACGAAAGAAATAGTCGGTAAAAAAAAAAACAGAAAAGGAAATGAGGTGTGATGAAACGAGATGCAGGAATAACCAGAAAAAAGAAAGGAAATTGAAGACAAAAGCGGATAACATAGGCACAAGAAATTGAAGCAAAAGAAACGAAAACAGGCCAAACTAGGACGAATTGACCTCATACCCTAATTCGCCTAGCAAGCTACCTCGAAATGGTCCCCATGGGAAAAACGTTGAACAGAATGTTAGGAGGAAGATAAGGAGAGCAGAAAAAACAAAGTAACATACACGGAGGAACGAAGTATATCATGCAAAAGGCAAAAGGGGGAAAGGATCTAATATGAAACAAAAAGAATCACTCTATTTCTTCCTTGCTCTCTCATTGAAACAAAGTCGGTAAGGAAAGGAGAAGAGGTTAGAATGTCGATTTCATCTACTAATTTTGCACTCATACTCTCCTTCACATTCTTCTCAACTCTCCTCATGCTTTCTTCTCCTCACGCTCTCTTCCTCATACGCACACACTCTCCCTCTCAATCTGTGCCTCTCCGTTTTTATTTATCACATAGTATTTTCGCACATGACTACCCTCTCACTCCCTTTCACAGTTTGAACTCACCAAGTTCTGCCGACATGCTCGTGCCCTTCTTTGCTGCTGCCGACGCGGATAATGCGCATGACGCTGAGCGTGGTGCGCGCCTGGCACCGGCAAAAACACACCAGCGCGACTTGCACCAGCAAAACGACGGTAGTGAGAGGATAAAGAAGGGGAAATGAAGAAGAGAGAGAAGAAGGGAGGGAGAATCGAGAGAGAACGGTAAAAAGGAGATAAAGGAGAAGAGGGAAGGGAGGGAAGAGAGGTGAACACATATGTGAAGGAAAACAATAAGATGCATTAAAGATAATCAACGCACCGACATAAAAATTAGGCCTTACGAAACGACAACACGTCAGTTTCTGGATAAGACTGCTCTAAACTGAGTGTGAGAAAAAAAAAGAGCGAAAACATGAAAATACGAGGTGGTAAAAACGCAACCGACGAAAAGGAAAAGTAAGGACGGTGGATAGAGGAAACGGATGGCAGATTATGCACGAAGAAACGAAACCAAAAAAATACAAGAAAGTTACGAAGTCTTTACAAAGGGCCCTAAGCTTAAACATCATAGTCTAGCTAATAAGTCATATTTTTACACGTGAGATTACTACGCTTGTCTATCTAAGACTCATCTAACTTCGTTGCAGTTGAGCATAGGGAGTAGTTAGGGGGAGCTTAGGCACTTATGCTTCTCACCTTCGTCTGGTACGTGGGGTGCTCAGCGTGACCAGCGAGAGAAAAAAAGAACATAAACCCTAATGCAAGTAAGCATTTCGTCGCGTTGTTTTATGATGAATAATATTTGTCTCGAAGTTGAGACATCTATGATGGCGTAGTCGGTAGGAGATTCTATTTAAACGAGGGGTCAAGGTTTCGACCCTCGTCTGTTTTGCTACTTTTAACAAGAAACAGCTACTCGGTATAAAAAGTAGAGCAATCATTAGAAAGGAGATCCATACTAGCTGTTAGATCCGTATAATGTTAATTACGCAAAAAGCTTCGCAACCCTAGGACGACCTTGTCGCCTCTTGTTTTTTTTTTTTTTTTTTTTTTTTTTTTTTTTTTTTTTTTTTTAACGGGTGCTTATTGTCCTTGATACGATTGCATGTACCAACAATGAAGCCGTGTGTGGATGAGCCCATACCGGATAGGTCGTTTGCGCACTCCTCACCTTCTCTTTCGGATTGGCCCGTTTGCTTCTCTCTCTCACTCTCCCTCTCTCTCTTCTTCTTCCTCGTCTTCTTCTCTTTTGCGGTGTTCAACAAGCCCTAGGTGGGCTGCCATATCATGTCTCGTTTTTTTTTTTTTTTTTTTGTGGCGTGCCTTGTGTCGCAGGCTATTTTCCCGTCGTGGCAATTGCGCGTAGTAATATGCCTACCCCTCTCCATTTGTATGCCTCCTTGTTTGCTTGCCTTGCTAGTGGCACTCTCTTGTCCCATTAAATTGGGCGGGTGTTGCCGTATCATGTAGCCTCCTTAAACAATCCCCATCATTTCGCACTTCGCACTTGCTCGCTTTCTTTCTCGCACTTTTTTTTTTTTTTTTTTTCGCCGGCAGCAGATACCTCCACTATTTGAGGCTTGCTTGCTTCAACAATCCAGGTTTCAAACGCTCAAATATTATTCATTGGCCACGTAATAACAATCATCCACATTTCATGCCCTTCCGGCCCATATTCCATACGCATAAATCTCATGATTGCCACTCATGGCTAAAACCTAGGACTCCTAGTCCTACCCCCTTCACTTGGGGTCGGCCGGCGGTCGTTCTACGCGCTCAACCGATCTGGCCAGCGGCCTAAGCGCGCCGTGTTGTCCATGCAACATCCTCTCGGCGCCCCCAAGTGGTTTCCCTCTCAAGGGGTCACACCACCGGCGCGGGACCTTGGGGTCACCGCCCATTTTCAGCTCACACATTGGCCATGTGGCCTAGCTGCCCGCACTTGAAGCAAGTTCCACGAAAGCTCCTGCCGTTTTCGTCCATTGGCGGCCCGCGTTTGTTGCCAAATGCTCCGGTTCCTCGCCCTCCACCGCGTGCGGCACGACCGAGATTGCCTTGCGCGCGTTCTATGGCCGCAACGTCCGCCATGGCTTGCTTGAATGGGCGTGAGGTGAACAAGCTCTTCTCCTCGTACATCTTGAACCGGTTAGCAATGCGGAAGTTCGTGTAATCGACGACGTGAAGAAGCTTGAAACGATTGTTGACGAGCGTGAGCGCCTCCTCGAGAAGCTCCATGGCACTCGCCGGTTCGTTGAGTCGCACCTTTTGTTCCGCGTGCATCAGGTAAGCGCGCGGGTCCTCGAGGAGCTCGGCTTGCTCATGGACAGCCCCGTTCTTGAATGAGGATGCGGTGAGGTTGGGGTTGGAGGTGGGAAGAGGGGGAAGGTGCTCGGTGGTCGAAAAAAATGCATTATCAGCAGGTGCCTCACCAGCTTCGTCGTCTGAAGTGTCGCTGTCGGCGAGATTTTCCGGTCCCGGGGTAGCCTTGACAGTGGCGCCCTCGGTGTGTGCGATTTTTGCCGTGCGAGCGCGTTGCACCATCTCCATTTTTTCCTTTGCGCTTTTAGCAGAAATTGAAGTCGCGTTTGGTCTAGCGGTTGCTTCCGTAACGGTGGGGACTTGCTGCTGTAAGAGGGACAACAGCTGCTGCAGTTGGGCCGAGGTGAAGACGGGCGAGGCCACTGACGCGTCAGGGGCCTGAGGCGTGTCAGGCAGGGCTCTTGCTAGGATTCAAGCCCGTCTGAAGACATGTAAAAAAAATACTCGTTTGGTCTGACGTTTTGACGAGGAAAAAAGGTTAGTCTGAACTTTCAGACGAGTGCAAACGCCACGTCTGATTTTTCAGCTGAAATAGATAGTGCTGTCTTTTTTTTTTTTCAAATTGCGTCGTGTAGTGTATTATCGTATATCGATTCAGGGCGACACAACCTAAATGTGTAAGGTTGTTGGGCAGCTCTCGGCATGCTGAGGGCAGGGGGGGTGGGTGTTGGGCTGCGACAAGGACTTCGGGGGAGTTCGGTTGGGGGTGTTGGGCTGTTGCGAGACTTTTAGAGAGGAAAGCGGGCTAGGCTAGGAGCGGGGACCTGGGGAGGGGACCTAGGCTGGGGGAAAGGGGGAGAAGGGCTGGACTAGGCCAGTAATATAGGGACGAGGAGCGAGGGCATCAAATGGGGGGCTGCGCTGTTAGAGAAGCGAGGGATCGGGGGGGAAGAAAGGTGGGGGGGGGGGGGGGGGGGGGGGGGGGGGGGGAGGGGATTGGGGTCGTTATCAGACAAAATGCAACCCCCTATCTGAAATTTTAGACGAAGTATAAGGCTTCCTCTGAAAAATCAGATGAACTGTAATGCGTAATCTTACAGATCAGACAAAGTAAAAATCCTTATCTTGAAAATCAGATAAGGATTTAGGGTCTGAAAATCAGAAAATCAGACCAATTTGGTCTGATAACGAGAGCCCTGGTGTCAGGGGCCTAAGGCGCATCAGGGCCCACGTGCGCCTGAGGCCTCGCGTCAGGCGCGTGTGCCTGCCTGCGGCACTGACGCTGACGGGGGGTGCCGGTCGCGCTGGCCGGCGTTGACTTGGCACCCTCGGCGGTGGCCGGCGCCTCAGGCCCCTTAGGGGCCACGTGCGCTCGAGGCCCCCCAGGGGCGCGTGTCCCAGCGAGGTTGGCCTCGCGCAGCAGGACTTCGACGGCGGTCGGGGTCGACTCCTCGTCGTCTGCCCGGCGCTTGTTACGACGTTCGCCCGCGGGATCGCGGGTAAAATTTCCGTCGTCGGGACGAATTGGGGCGTTGGTGTTGTCACAGTTGTCGCCGTTAAGTGCCATTGTAGCCGCGTTGTGAGCGAAAATATCTGAAAGGAGTGTCGACGGACACTGAAAGCGAGGTAGTGATTTCAACTTCGCCAGCTTGGAATTGGGAAGTCGAAACTTGACTAAACCGTTTGAAAAATGAGAGACGTGGGTGGAGGGAAATGACCTCCAGCCCACGTTTTGTACTCCAAAACGGGCGTTTAGCGCGGTTCGCCAATGACCATTGCTATATTGCAAGCCGCTTCGCTTTCAAAATACACAATTTTGAAAAGCGTTACAGCTTTTAAAAATATTCATTTTTACACGCCCTTATGCCCTGCCCCTTGAATCTGCTTTTCCCGACCTAGAACAATTTTGGCTCCTGTAAGAGATCAAGCTCATTACTTGAACATTGAAAAACGAAAACAAACCGTGTAAACAAGATTGTGATGTCAATACACCACTGAAGGAATGAGGCTATTCCCTGATAGTACACCGGCAGGCAATTCAGGTAGGTAAACTGACACCAAGACGTCACTAGGACGGAATGCATATGGGCATTCCTTGGTAAAGGCTTTGAGTTCGGCACATCCATCCTCGATTTAGCTCTGAAACGAGAGGGTACTGGCGCTTGAACTGCACAACGACAAGAGAGGCACAGCTGTCGCCTCCTTGCACCGAGTACTTGCGGTTTGCCACCTTTTTGGACCGCGAGGGACCGCACGCCACCGCTCCCAGTGGCTCCCCGGCAACACATACCTGTAGGTGGACGATGGGTGGGTGGATGATGGGCGGATTGGGTTGGGGTTGTTTTGTAAGATCCACCACACAAGAGCTTGGGGTGTGTGCGCATGCAACACATGTTTTTAGGCTCCTCAAAACAAGAGCTTGGGGTGTGTGCGTATGCAACACATGCAAACACCGTGCACGTGCAGACACCCTACACGCCACCACGCCCACACCCACACCTCCTCCCTCCCCTCTTCTCCCCCCCACAACCACCAACACACAAACAAAAATGTCCACATGCTCACCAACCCCCACCACACGCCCATCCACCCACACACACACAAACCCCCTCTCACGCGCACACACACCTCTTGTCCAGCAAGCCCATTGATATTGTCGCACAGCAAGCCGGGGTTAAAGCGGTAGAGGGAGCGCCACGTGAGGTCGTACGTGGAGAGAACAGACGCGCACGTGGTGGTGGGCGTGATGTCCTGGTACTGCGTGCACAGCATGTAGTTGCTTGAGCCTTTCTCAAAGTCACTCCACTCCACACAGATCTGCGGTGTGAGGGAGGGTGATGTGGGCGGGGAGGAAAGGGCAAGCAGTCTTGTTTTTTAGGCGCGTCGGAAGCCCAGCACGTAGTTGTTTGAGCGTTTCTCAAAGTCACTCCACCCCACACAGATCTGGTGAGGAGAGGCAGGGTGATGTGGGCGGCCAGGGAGGGGTAAGCGGAAGGGATTGGTGGAAGGGGACTGAGCTCGAAAGGGATAGTAGGAAAAGCACACATACATGAGAATGTGCATGAGCGCGCTTACACACGCGCGCGCTTACACACACCTGCACATGCCCCCACACGCATGCATGCACGCACACATGTGCAGTGCACAGTCACAAAGACACGAATGCAGAGAGTGTGTGAACAGAACAGGCACGCCTTGCGCACCTGCTGTCCCGGGACCAAGTTGGCACAGTCGAGCCCGGGATTGATAGTAGCAGCATCGATGGAGAAGCGCGTGTTGATGGCATTGCAGTTGCCTGCCGTTGCATCCGCCTGCGCAGCACACACGGAGGGTGTGGAGCAGCAGCACAGGGAGGAACGCCTTTGAGCATTTGCAAACGTGCTTCTCAAAAGAGAATTTTCAATAGGCACGGGGAGGGGAGGGGAGGAATGCGAAGGACTGGGTGGGTGCGTCCAGAGGGCGCATGACTTTTGAGTTGACTCAAAACGAGGTGACTTTTGAGTCGACTCAAAACGAGGTGACTTTTGAGTCGAACTTTTGAGTCGACTCAAAACGAGGCGACTTTTGAGTCGACTCAGAATTCACTTTGGAATGCGAAGGACTGGGTGGGTGCGTCCAGAGGGCGCATGCTTGTGCCACTTTGGGAGTTCTCAAAGATTTTGAGACGAGAAATCTGAAAATTGTCCAGCACAGTACGGGATCAAGTTTTGAAACATCTCAAAACGAGAACTCTCAAAATCGTCCAGCACATCAGGGGATCAGAAGGAGAATGTGAGGCATGCAAGCACACAGGCAAGCAGTTGGGATGGGATGGGGGAAGAAACGCAGGGCGGAGTGGTGGGGTCTTTGTTAATGGAGGCACAGTGTGTGTGTGTGTGTGTGTGTGTGTGTGTGTGTGTGTGTGTGTGTGTGTGTGTGTGTGTGTGTGTGTGTATGTTGTATTGTTGCCAGAGTGAAGCAAGGCAAATGGTGGAGCAGTATAGCTAAGGCGAGTGGTGGGCAAGAATGGTGCGAGAGGATACAAGGTGGGTGGGTTAGAGGGAGTTGGGTACAAGAGAGCCAATGGTGGAGAGGGCTGACCACACAACACAACGAGTGGGGTGACGGTCGTCAGGCGCGCACCGCACCGCATACTGCGTCGTGTATGTATCATGTATAGCAACGCGTTTTCACGGGGTCAATCTTCAAAATACTCTTAAACCGTTCCAGCCAAAGCATGATCAGTCGTGTGCACAATTACCAGTGTGGCCTTGGAAGAGTGAAGGCATGAGAGTGAAGAGGCATGTTTACGTCTCTCCACGGGTATGTGTGCGCTGTGGTCACTCCCCGTGCCTGCACCGTGCTCAGACTATACTCACACTACATGAGCACCATGCTCCTGCACCACTCGCACACTAGTCTCACACCACTCCCTCTTGCACTGCTTTTCTGTAAGCAGTTGAACGCACGATAAATGAATCGGGTGCGCCTGGCTTCTTGTGCCGGCTAATCGGCTCATCAGGAAGGAAGGTGCCGAGGCGAGGTGGGAACGGAAGATACGGAGGAGGAGGCGCGTACCTGGGAAATTGGATAGCGCACGGAGCATACGGGCTTGGTGGTTCGCTCCACCTGCACGTATGTGCCCTGTTGCAGGTTGTTACAGTCCACATCCTGATGGGCCCTCGTCACACACACACACATGCCAATGCGCATGACCATACACATGCCCATGCGCATGCACATGCCAATGCGCATGCACATGCATACGCAGTAAGGGCAGGTGCATGCCGGGTGCAGAGACGGCGCAGGCACACAGAAGGTGCAGAGAGAGTCTGAGAGGCTATTTGGCCGTGTGGAAAACATGACATCACAGCACTGAGAAAGGCATGAGGACAGGGAAAGCGAGGCGCAGGACGTAATTGGCAAGACAACGAATCCCTTTCTCAGTCTCAAACAGTCATTGTTTGACAGGGGGAAAGGAGGACATCAACCAACCACTAAGGCCGGGGAGATGGCTGCAACACCACTCTCTGGCCCTCTTCCCCCCCAGCAACACCCCCACTCCTCCCGCTCCCCGCACTCCCCCCGCTGCCCCCTCTCACTTCGCCCCTCGCACGCTGCATCCCACCGCACCTGGTTCTGTGCGAGGAAGTCGGCCTCTGAGAGGCCGTGGAAGACGTAGATGCCGTAGCACGTGTCCCCTGCCTGCACCTGATACGAGTTCACTGGCGCGCTCGCCCCGCCTGGTGGGAGCGAAGCACGTGGGAGGGGTATTGGGATGGTGGCAGGGGAATGGGGGGTGGACGGGGAGTGGGGTGGGACGGATGGGGGGAATGGGCGGATTGGGGGATTAGGGGAATGTGGTGGGGGGCGGATGGGGTGAGGGGGTGGTGGTTGGAGTGGGGAGGGGAGCAGTATGAAAGACGTAGATGCCGTAGCACGTGTCCCCTGCCTGCACCTGGTATGAGTTCACTGGCGCGCTCGCCCCGCCTGGTGGGAGAACAGAGGCAAGGAAGGGGGGAGGATGGGGGAGGGGGGATGGGATGGGGAATGGGGTTGCTGGCACCGCCTGCAGGGTCAGTCAGACGTAGCCGAAGGGGGCAGGGTTGTGGGGAGGAATGGCGTGTG